TTTTCACCACTAAATAGACCACTATTTGGATGCGTTTGTGACGATTCCTCGCTATTCATAAGCTTTTGATTAGATTTGGCATAATTTGTAATCAATAGTCACATCACTAGGACTTACAGTATCTCATAATATAGTGGATTCTTAGGCATATTTGGCGCACTACTGGTGCGTGTCGTGGATGTGTTGCCATTAATCAAATCGTTACTCACTTTGAGTTCACTTCTGGACGCGTAATTCAAATCATTTATTTTTGGTCCAATTTTCTCGTAAATGTTTTCGTTTTCGCCGAAACTGATGGAGTCGTCGACGATAGGGACAGACATCTCGAGCACTTGGGTCTCGTACTCCTTCGTCGCCTTCACCATTGGCTTCACATATATTGGTTCGTAAACTTTTGACTGCGGCTCAGACACCACTTTCTTGATCTCGTGCTCCCGATTCTTGAGCCTATCATTTGTAAACAAGCAACAAATTTAATTGAAATGTATTACTTCCATATACTATTGTAGTGATTTGTTTCATTTTGCAACAAAAAACAAAGTTTGTAACTCTTATGCATAATACAGTGTTTTATTTCATGGTTTTAATTAATTTTCAATAATATCAAATTAATCAAAATAATCTAACTTTCGCATGTTTAATTTGTATGTAATTTAATTACTTCTAAACTAAATAAATTTATCAACTGGTAGTTTGATAAAATTGTATACATTTAATCTACAAGGAAACTTTTTTGGAAATTGCTAATTTATTCGCATTCTTATGCATTTTAATGAATATATTAAATATTAATAACAAGTAAAAGTTATAAATAAATAAATAAAAGGCTAAATAATGAAAAAGTGATCAAACAAATGATTACAAACCGGGACCACATATAGCAATGGTAAACAATTCCAATGATTCCAAACACAGCTATAATACAAGCGATTAAAATGAGAGCAATACCCAAATGAGTGGACTCGGATGTAATCATTTTATACAAGTTTTTTATTTGGTTTACTATTAAACATATTTGTTGCAGTTTAGCCGTGTCTGCGGTCGTTTCGTTCATTTTGCTACACAAAGTCCATTCACATGAATAGAAATCACTAATAGTTTGCAATTAATTTCACATCTCATTGTCTTATATCATATCACTGATGAGTTATAAAAGTTTAGCAAACATTCAAATTCACTTCATTTTGCGCACAAATTCCACACAATTTTCTGGTGACAACACATTCACACGATTTAGTTTTTATATTATCATTCATGTATTACAAATTGGATATTAATTGAGAATATATTACAGCAAAAAAGTTTCATTAGAAGGTTATATACGTTGAGGCCATGTCTTCATCAGGTTTCACCTCAACAACGGATGCGCTCACAGAAGACATCACTTTTCAAAAAATAAATTAAATTTTATTTTTATTATACTTTATATTTAGGGGAGTTATAGAGAGACACACAAAACAATTTAGCGCTAAAAGTTTAAAAGCGTTCATAAAATGGTACAAAAGAGACCACAAAAGTAATTATAATCTATGGTTTTGAAGACAATGTCTCAGCGAATGGATGTTTGGATGAGAGGAATGCAAATGAATGCATGGAGTGGTGGAGTCGACTGTGGAGTGGCTGTGAGAGTAGACCCCCAGTCGTCGATCGGCCCCTTCCTAGCTATGTGTGTGCGATGTGTTTGGGAACCCGTCTGACTGGTTGTCCGCCAGTGGTTTGGCAGTGGCTTTCGGTCCACTTTTGTGGAGTGTTTGGTATGTTTTGGTGGTGTCAGGCAGTGCTCACAACACATACCTAACCATTCAATAGCCAAATGTTGTAAATCTGATGCGACCTTCGCATCCACTGTTTTGACGATCAAATGAAATATACATTTGCCGTGCATTTCCTTATGAACATAAAACTTGTATAATAAATTTATTTAATATATTCCCGAGCAGTCTATTATGCCTTTTATCTGTAATCCCTACGCAAATCCGTCAAAACAATCTCATCATAAGTATTCATTAAATTAGTATTAACTTTGCATTCCTGATGGCGAGGCATCACTTGACTTCACTTTTTAATTATTTAATTTAATAATAGCTTTTGAATGTGTTTTTCTCATCAGATGCTTATCTCAATAGTAATTTATATAACAATTTACGGAAAATTCACTTCCAATGCGAGAGTTTAATCACAGTTTATGTTTAGGAAAGTAGAAATAATTGTCTCATTTTATATTTGCTTTAATTTCATTTTAATGGTCGAGTTGTAAATCACAGTTTTGTAGATAATGTCTGCAATTCAGTGCCAAGAGTTTAATCACAGTTTATGTTTAGGAAAGTAGAAATAATTGTCTCATTTTATATTTGCTTTAATTTCATTTTAATGGTCGAGTTGTAAATCACAGTTTTGTAGATAATGTCTGCAATTCAGTGCCGGTTTTGTGTTCATACTATGGTTTTGACAAATACTTCAATTTATTTAATCTTTAAATTTAATGATTTCTCTCTCTTTTGAAAGCCATTCGAGTGTTAAGTCTTTGCTCTTATTTGCAGTCAATTTGGAGAAAGTCTTAAATATTTTGCGTACAAATGGTTGTCATTATATAAGTCATAACAAACTAATAATCGTTTTAAGCTATAATTAATAAATTATAACAAATTAACTCTCAATGTGGTATTGGCTTATTTTAAAATTTTGTTTATTTAACCAAAACGTTTTGAACTCATTTATGATTAACGTCTTAATTCCACTCATTTTTAATAAAAATGAAATATTTCTTTGAAATTCTTGAACCAAAAGTGTATAGCAATAAAAATACTGAATTATTGCCTCAACTGCTCGTTAGAAGTCTCGGAAAACGACTTAAAGAGAGTTTATCACAAAAATATGATATAATTACGAATGCATTGTAATTATTGTGGTGTTCAATGAACTCAAACATAATTGTCTTTTCATTTGAAATACACATTAACTTATGTCTCAATTATTGGCATTTCTCTTAAATTGCATTATTTTCTTCATATCATTCGCATTATAAACCAAAACTCTTATATTTAATGCTGACTTCACTCCGTATTTGAAAGTAATTTATTTTTTTTGCAATTTTCTTTCTAATTAACAATAATATAGTTAACAAAAATTGATTTTCCAATTGAATTGAATTAACAAAATTTGTTAATATTTCTTAACTTTGATTTAGACTTCAATGCATTCATGGTTTGAAAAGTAAAAGTAATTCATTTTTTAAATTAAATTTCTTTTGTTATGAAATACCTTAGGATTGATTCATATACAAGTCTCTCTCTCTCTCTCTCTCTCTCTCTCTCTCTCTCAGACTCACTAAATCGTGAATACAATACATTGTTGTCCTCTATTTAACAAAGAAATCAGATTACATGAGAAATACAAATGAAATGAACATCTCTTCATCGCTCCTATTCTTCTTTGTATTCATTGCAACAAAAATTCATTATTTCTTAAAAAACTTAAAAATAAGTTTCACTTTTCACACAATGAAAGTGTTCACCGAATCTCTTGTTTACTGTAATTGCATTTATTATTAAACATTGTATTCAAAATTTAAAATATTTTATTATGATTAACTTACTTGTTGAATTATTAGGCATTTTAATAAACATAAAATTCGCTTCCTTTCTGTTATCAACAATGTTTTTATAAAGTAGTTGTTTGTAATGATTTATTTGAGTAAAGAATTGAAAACATTTTTATAGGAATAAATGTTTCAAATTGATTTTAATATTAAGGAAAATGAAATATTAATTGCAATAATTACTATTTACAATATTTATTAGCTTTTATTAAATACTACTCTGTTGAATTATTTGTAAACAATACTTTACTAAAAACATATATTAATCACTAAAAACTTGTAATTAAATAGCTTCAGTTTTATATCATTTAAAGTGAACTTTTGAACCCAAAACTAATTTCTCTATTCTAATGAAAACAACATTAAAATATAAAAACAATAAAAACAATTCATAGCCTTTGGGCACTAATCTATTTTTTCACTTTTCCATTTTAAATGATCCATATTTTTAATTGTAAACCAAAATGTGATTATAAATCAGAGGCTTGCTCTCCAAAAATTTATGTCAATATTAAATAGTATTTAATGCATCCAATGAAAGACTTTCTGTATTAACTTGTTTCTAAAGATTTGTTTCCATTGGACTCAATACCCAAACAATTTAGACCTTCATTATTGTTATAATTAATTGAAGTCACTATTGGGCTGTGTATTAGTTATGGAAAATAAATTTTTTATTTCAAATAATGAATCGTTCAAATCATACGATTATACTATGCACTACATTGTGCACATTCATTGCATGATTATACAAATATATAAGTGGTTGAGTCGACAGTTATCCCACACTCACACATCACATGAAAAGTTGGTTTCAATTCATACGAGTATTATATAATCGTTTCGAGTTTTACCTCAAAAAAGTCAATATTTTTCTTTCCGTTTAATTTCTGGTTAATTAAGAAAATATCAGTTTTCAATACATATTATACTATTCATATTTATTTCACATATTTGTGACGAAAACATTATTCATCATTAGCAGTGAGTTATAACACGATTATAAATGTTAATTAACATAACGTTGCAATAAATGCCATTCAAATTATACTATAGTTCGGAGTAAACTTAAAATAAAAAATTAAAATATTATTATAAGGAAATTGTGAAAAATCTTTTACAAAAAATGTTTTTATTTTGTTATGACATTTTTATTTATAATTATTATTACAATGTTACATCAATGGCATTAATTGTGAATTGAATAAATAAATAAATACTCCCATTTTTGTTCTCTACCTCTAAATACTTATCTAGGTTTTAAAAAAGTGTTGTAAAATAAACATTTCTATTCAATGACTTAATGGTGCTCTTAATTGTTATTGAATTGAAAGTACAGTTAAATAATATGAAAATTTTCCTGTAATATATTCATTAACTATAGATATAAATAATTTGACTCGAAAAATGTTGTCAATATGTTGTCGACAAAGTTGTTTAAAACTTTAATTTGAAGTTGACTTTGGGTTTTATATCAAATATTTATAATAATTTACAGATTTATTGTGATGAACATCTGGAAAATAGACTAAAATAGGGACTGGTAGACTATCAAACTGATATTAACAGTATCAGTGTCAAACAATATTTTAATTTTAAAGTGTACAGAATTTAATCATTTCTATGAATAGTCATAAAATCAATTCAAATTGAAAATTAACCAAAACTTATATCTACGTAAGCATTACTTCACTCAATGTTTAGTCAATAATCGTAAATAATTATTGGGTTTAAAATGTAAAGAAAAAATAATAATTACATGAATAGAAAACTTTTTCCCTTTAAATATAATGTCGTGAATGTCGAGAGAGAAAAGTATCTGACGGATGGATGGGTTCACTATTGAATTGACTATAAAAATACAGACAATATTTGATAAGTTTAGGACGGAATTGAGTACAGTATCACTAATAATAGGTTTAGTGTTCAATGTTTATGGCCTTGAATGCAATTTTCCTCAAAACTATGATCTGATTGAACCGAAACTCGACTCTAAGACCAGATTTCGTGGCGAATTGGAAGTGGTTTTTGCAAACTTGAAATACATCTACAAATAGCGTGTATTTGAAAAGTTTCTATAATTAGGAGTTGTTGGCAGTGAGAGAGAGAGTCAGGAGAGAGCCATAGGAGAGAGACTGCGAGAGAGAGCACTATTATACACGTAATAATACACACGTTTACTCTTCCGATTCCTACACCTCTTTCCTCTCGTTATAAAAATATTGTTTAAATAATATTTAAATTACTATTAATTACTAGTTTTATTCATTCACTCGCTCTCACATAACCCTATCGTAAGTATTTTCATTAACAACTCATAAGTTGTTGTTTTTATTTGTATGAATAATTTTTTTTCGTGTAATTAATTAAAATTCATTCATTTATTTTCCATAATTCATAATTTTATGGTATTTTCATGAGTTTGGCGAAAAAGTTCATGAATTATATATAATTTATTTTGTTTTTATCCACAGATTGTAACCTAAGATGAGCTCAACGCTGGAACAGTTACGGGCGATGACTGTCGTGGTCGCCGACACCGGAGACTTCGACTCCATGAAGGAGTTTAAGCCGACGGACGCCACGACCAACCCGTCGCTCATTTTAGCCGCAGCTAAGATTCCCAAGTATTCCGCGATTATCGACAGAGCCGTCGACTTCGGGAAGAAGAATAACAACAATTTGGAGCAAACTATGGACTACTTGTTTGTGTTGTTCGGCATCGAGATCCTGAAGGTGGTGCCCGGGAGGGTGTCCACCGAAGTGGACGCCCGACTCTCCTTCGACATCGAGGGTTCCGTCAAAAAGGCGCGACAACTGATCCAACTGTACGAGAAGGAGGGCATCAAAAGGGAGCGGGTTTTGATAAAATTGGCGACGACTTGGGAAGGGGTGAAAGCGGCCGAACAGCTGGAAAAGGAGGGCATTCACTGCAATCTGACGCTTCTGTTTAACTTCGCTCAGGCCGTGGCCTGCGCTGAGGCGGGCGTTACCCTCATCTCGCCATTCGTGGGCCGCATATACGACTGGTATGTGGCGGCGACCGGCAGGAAGGTGTACGACAACCCGAGCGACGACCCCGGCGTCGTGTCCGTCACTAAAGTGTACAACTATTACAAAAAGCACGGCTACAAGACGGTGGTGATGGGCGCCTCCTTCCGCAACATCGGCGAAGTGAAGGCTCTGTCGGGCTGTGATTTGTTGACGATATCGCCGGCCCTGTTGGCCGAACTGTCCAAAGAGACGGGCGTCAAGTTGGAGCGGGCGTTGAGTGCAGACGCGGCCAAAAAGCTGGACATTCCTCGCACTCATTACGACGAGAAGAAGTTCCGGTGGGAACTGAATGAGGATCAGATGGCCACCGATAAGCTCAGCGAAGGCATCCGCAAGTTTGCCGCCGATTGTATCACTTTAGAGAATCTGATTAAACAAAAACTTCAGTAATTTTGTTGTTGATTATAGTGACGGAGAGTTTTCCAAACAATTTTCCACTTTTTATAAAAATTTGTTTAAATATAGTATAGAATTATTATCTATTTTATACAATTAATGTAAACAGTTTTCTCTCGATTCAAACTTATCTACTAATGTTGGGCTCAATGTTTTTTATCTGTTTATGAATTTTATACATTAAATCGATTTTAAACTAATCACTCGATGTGTGCTCTTATCTATCATTCTCTTGTGATTTTAAATTTTTATGATTTTAGTGAACTAATAATGAACTCTAAATGTGAAAATTAGTGCCAATAAATTAAAAAGTCACTAGATTATGATTGATTCACACATTAGAGAATTATAAAAGTATTTTCGTAATTATAAATCAATTTTATATTAAAAATTATTTGTTAACTATAATGAAATAAAAGTTTTAAATCTTTTAAATCATGTATTTGATTTAATATGATAATAAAATTCATTGAGTTACTGTCTCTGCAGTAGAAATTAAAATATCAAATAACGTTATCAAGTACATTTGTATGAGCGCCTATAGATGACACTATAAATGCAACACCATATCCAACATTACAGACCACTGGCAGACAATCGCTGGCAACCCATTCCCCCCACAATTCGTGCGATTCTTGCAATCAATAATTTATTCACAATTTAAGCCTCTTTTTCCATTTGCCTACAAATAGCCCGCTTTTAGACTTACATCATATTTAACAAATTGTTTTTATATTCCTTTGTATTATCAAAGTTTAGTTGAAGTGTTTTCCATTCAAATATTGATTACAATTTTAGATAATTTGTATCATTTTGAAGACGTTTTTTGTAACAATTATTTTAGTAATATATTATCAGATGTTAGAAAGAAACCCATAAATGAATAAATTATAATATTTTTGTCTAATTTATGAAGTCCTAAATGAATAAAATTTATACAATTTGAATGAATGCCAAAAGTTATATGCAATACCTATACACTCATGATTTATTACATATTTTACACAATTATAGTACACCTACTGTTTTATCTATTTAAATTTTTCATAAATCGTTTATAAAGCTACGTATAAAGTATAAGAAAATATTTTTTCAAGAATAATTAGTATTTTAATAACTAACTTGCCTATTGTTATTTTTAGTATATCATATTTATTTATAATATTTTATAGGTGAAAGTTTATGAAAATATTTATAAGAAAATATGTATTCACAATATCTATTATATTTATATTTATGTGAGCAATCTAGTTTGGTATTTATTTTTATAAGTTTAATTTTACTTAATATAAAAATCATTTTATTTATAAAAAATATGAATTTACTAATAAGACATATGATTTTTGCTAACATATTGATTGTTAGAGGATTTATAATATATAATAAATACTGTAATTGAAACATAATTGTTTTGTACTTTTAAATTACTACTTACTTTGACTACTTTTATTTATCCAAGTAATTATTTATAATTATTTTTTATTTATACATAATACTTATATAACATTTATATTTAATACTTATACAGTATAAGTTATAGTAATAATTATAAATATACGTATATTACGTTATTTATAAATTATGTATATTTAACTACATTACAATAATAAATTCAGTAAAATATTTTTAAAAATGAGATCAATAATTTTATAAATAATTTGACATATTAAAATTTTAAATATAATTATACTAATATATAATTTTCTGTTATCGAGGGAAACTGTTATTTAAATTAAATATAATGTACGGTATGAAATATTCAATGTATGGTTAAAATTTAACGTTAATTTAAAAATTAGATTTTAGAAATTTAAAAATTAGATTTATCAATTAAACTACTAGTAATCTAATAAACACCTAAATAACATCAAGGACTTACGAACAGAATAATACAGAATAAAAGATTAATTAAAGATTACATAAGTTTTGATTAAAACACCATCGGATCGATACATGATTGCACTCTTAAACAATTATTTTCACTAAAATCGTTACAAACAGCGAGTCTTACGAACTAATCAACTGATTAGCGAAAGAAGAAATATATAAAATGTGATTTAATTTCGTGAAATATTTCGTAAAAATTGCAAAACTACTTAAATGGGAGTCAATTAAAGCGTTTAGTAGCCGTCGGAATGGATGTGCCATACGAGCCGCTCGTTTATTGGGAGCTATTGTTATACAATACGGCAAAAGGGAGAGAGAATTGAGTCTAATTTGTAGTACTTCTCAATAAATGTAAGGGTTTTGTGAGCCAAAAGATCTAAGCGCTGGTGGTTTGTGTGTTTGGAGGACTGTTATCATACATAAATAATATGTCTCTGCGGAACATTCAGAGTAAAGTTGGTTTCGTTTAAATTATTCATTACATGTGAGCCACTGCCAGCTGCCAGGCCTACCAGCGCCAACACCAACACGAATAATGTTTTCTCTTTTTATTTCTTATTCCCATTCATACGAGTCCTAGAATTTGATCAGAATTTTAGTTAACACTCACTCACACACACACACACACACCCGAGCTTCAAGTTTATGTTTCACTGCCTTTTAAATTTGAATAAATATATAGAGTATTTAAATAATATTTATTGGTATTTGAGGTTTTGCTGTGTATTTTTCATGCGTTAATTAGTAATGCATTTATTTATTGTAATTTTCAAGTGATGAACATTTTTTGGTGGAAAGCATTTTTGCGTTGAGAAAAGTGCCAAAAGTTTTGCTGCAAAACAGAGATCTATAGCCCAGAGAGTGAGTGGGAGAGAGATACAGAGATAGGGAGAGGAATGGCAGAGAAACACCTGCTCTGATCCCATCATTATTTTAGGCTTATATTCTGCCGGAGTTTATATAGCCGTTCGTAGGGCTGGTATGCGTTGGCACAGCGTTTAGAACATTGGGTTTCGCATTGAGAGCACACAATCTCTATTGTCGTGTATTATCTCATGTATTCCTATAGTGTTTTGTGGAGACATTGAAGAAATGCATTTATTGGTCGACGCGGTGAGTGACGCTCCCAAGTCTTATACCAGGGATTGGGCTCTCAATGCATCCGATGCTTTGCGCAGAGAGTGGTTTCGCTAAGAAGTTTGCTCTTGTCTTAAGGGCGCCGAGCGATCCCTCCCAACACAACGATCGCACAGTTCCGATGGCCATAAGTTTGTTCGCTTGAGCTCCCGGTGCCACACAATCACACACACACACCATGACAGTCATCCGTATATAAATCCAGTGCCGATCGGTTCAGCGCCTGATTCTCTCCCCTCTCCTCCCGACGTATTGGAGATTAGTGTGTGATAACTGAGCAGCAGGTAAGCCGTTGTCAATATTTGTATTGTTCATTAATAGCACATCCATCTGCTTCTCCGGTGTGCGGTTTCGGTGACCAATGAGTTAAAAGCGAGTCGTGTATTGATTGTGATATCAATACTCTAAAAGCGCAATGAATTCTTGACTCTTAGATGTGATTAAGAAATTGAAAGTATTTAGTGTTTAGTATTTGTATTATATTTAGTAGTTTTCGCTGCGAATCACGTATTTTTTGGGTCTACTATACGGACAAAAAACTAGTGGAAAAGCTTTCGCTCATTCCGTTCACGTCTCGTCCATATATGAAATGTTAAGCTTTTTGAGTGAATTAAAACTAAAAGTTTTTTCGTTCACTTTCAATGGCTCTTCACTTGTCTCGCACTCGTTGTATAACATTATGTCTCAAAGAATTTAATTTTAAAGATTTATTACTCCTTAGAATATAAATTTATATATTTTTTTGAATATGTTTTAAAAACTATACACAAATTTATTTACGAGAGAAGCGTATTGATTATAAAGACTTTGCAAATAGGAGTTCCTAGTGATGGGAATCAGGCATCCAGTGGAATGGGATGTGAATAAAACAATTTGTTGGCACTGTTTGCACAAAAATGACTCATTTTTGGCTGAATGGCCACAAAGACATGTAAAACAAATATGGTTTTGAGTGAAAAAAATAACCAAAAGAGACAGAAAAAAGTTTTTTTTAACAACATTTATATAACGAATGAATGGGATTTATACTGTATTTGGATGCGAGGGCTCAATTCAATTTGGCGTCCGGTCACTTGTCTGGCTTTGAGCTAACTTTCCCCTCAAACCATGCTATACCACGGCTTTACGTTGTGTTAGGCGTGCGAATAGGCCTGAAGTCCATTGGGATCAGAGAACAGTGAATAATACAACACAAAGATTATAGACATTGAGTATTGGATAATACAATTCGTGTGCCGAATGCGCGCCGTTATGTTAAGGGCACTGGTATGCCAGTGTGTATGTGTGCTGTACTAATAGTGAGTCTTGAGCGAAAATAATTAGTGTATGAAGTTTTCCGATAACTAAATTCAATGTGTGTTTTCTCTCTATCTCTCGTAATACTGACGAGTAATCAGTCCTTACGAGTGATTCGAGTAAAAGTAAAAATATTATAATATTATGGGAAACGAGAAAAGCAGTGAATAATTCTCGGATTGAACCGAAAGAGCAAATGCTTTGGGAAAGGGATGGGAAAGGGATGGGGAGAAGATGCAGTAGGTTTGGGAGCACTTCACCATAATTTAGATGGTGTTCACCTCAAACTGGTTGTCACGTTCTCTCCAACACTCGCATCACGAATGCAATGAAAAGCAAAACACATTTGCGCTTATATTTCAGCATCCAGTTCCCCGCGAGCGTGTAGTTTCACTGGTGCACTACGGGTGCTCTCCATAGAAAACAATATTCTAAATGCTTCTCAAATATACTTTTCTATCAATTTTTCAACTCATACTCTATCTCACGTCTGTATATAAAAGTCTAATTAAGGCTTAAACGTGAATTTAAGTTACACTGAATATATAAGTCATATTCACTGAATTGATATCATATTATGTCTCGGATTCTGTACGAAAAAGAAGTCTAATTTAAAAAATATATTCTCAAATTTGATTCATTTGTAAGGTATAAGTGTCGAGAATATGGTTGAATATAAAAAAGATATCAAGCATTCATTCATTGCCTGTTTGTGTGAACTGTCGCCTGTATGTCAGCTCTCATTATAATACTGTCATAATATTAATTCACTAAATATTTTCAATTATATTAGAGTTAATAAAAAGCAGAATTAATAGATAGATATATAATATAACATTAGAAGTGATTATTAATTAATTTTGTCAACACATTTAATAAGCTATAAATTATCATGAACGAAAATCTAATTTAGTGAAACATTTCGTGAACAGAAAAAATAATTAAAACATCTTTTTTTGTATCATTTTCTATGCGCACAGACAGGCGACAGGACAGCTCATCAGGTGATGAATACTGTGCACTAATGTCTGGGTGTTTGGGTGTCCACTGACCACGACATGTGATGAAGATTATAGTGTTTTGGTGACCAGTCGTCGCAAACGCAATGCACTTCTGACAGAGAAAAACCAAACTATAATCGGATTTGTTATATAAGCGGAGAGCGAAGATCGGCGGAAATGGCGATCATTCCCATCCTTAACGAAGACACTGCCGTTCTCTGGGAGCGGATCAACCAGAAAGTGGAAGAGCCTCGCAGTCAGCGGCGCATAATTTTGATCATAGTATGCGTGGCACTGCTCTTAGACAACATGCTATATATGGTAATCGTGCCCATCATTCCCGACTACCTCAGGGACATCGGCGCCTGGACCACGCACCTGGAGGGCGCCGACATCGAGTACCGCAACGTGTCCAACAAGTTCGTGCCCATACGCGTGGGCGGTATCACCGTCTACGAGGGCGAGGACTCGGCCGTCGGTATGCTGTTCGCCTCCAAGGCGTTCGTCCAGCTCTTCATCAATCCGTTTTCGGGACACATCATCGACCGCATCGGTTATGACATCCCGATGATGATCGGCCTCACAGTCATGTTCTTCTCGACGGCAGTGTTCGCCTGCGGCCAGAGCTATGGCGTCCTCTTCTTGGCGCGCAGTCTTCAGGGCGTGGGCTCAGCCTTCGCCGACACGTCCGGCTTAGCGATGATCGCCGACCGCTTCACCGAAGAGAAGGAGCGCCAGAAGGCGTTGGGAATCGCGTTGGCGTTCATATCGTTTGGTAGTTTAGTTGCGCCGCCGTTTGGGGGAACGCTGTATCAGATCGCCGGAAAAGAAGTGCCATTTATTATCCTGTCGTTAGTCTGTCTATTAGACGCCGTTTTGTTAAAGTTTGTGATGAGACCCGTGAGGCAACAGATGAAGGAGGCCGGTGTCGAACGATCGCCCGGCACTCCCATCCATACGCTCCTAATGGATCCGTACATCGCTTGCTGTGCCGGCGCTCTAGTGATGGCCAACGTCTCGCTGGCCTTCTTAGAGCCGACCATTTCTTTATGGATGGAGAATACGATGAAAGACGTGGAGGAGTGGCAGATGGGCCTCATATGGCTGCCGGCGTTCTTCCCGCACGTGCTCGGCGTCTACACAACAATCAAATTGGCGGACAAGTATCCGCGCTATATGTGGATGATCGCGGCGGTAGGTCTGGCCATGGAGGGCATCTGTAGTTTTATGGTGCCCTTCGCCGAGTCCTTCTGGTTCCTCATTTTGCCCATATCTGGCATCTGCTTCGGCATAGCGCTCGTCGACACAGCCCTTCTGCCGACACTCGGATACTTAGTGGACGTCCGATACGTGTCGGTCTACGGCTCCATATACGCCATCGCAGACATCTCCTACTCGCTGGCCTACGCCATCGGCCCCATCATAGCCGGCACTATCGTAGAGACAATAGGCTTTCTAGCGCTCAACATATGCATCGCTATAGCAAACCTGTGTTACGTGCCGGTGCTCACGATGTTGAGGCATATATACGACTACAAGCCTTTCGAAGGCGAGAATATATCGATGACAGAGCAGCCAAACAAGAGATTATTTCAGCCGCAGGACAACTCCCATCGGCCGCCACCACAACCGCCGCAACAAAAAACTAATTCCATAGTCAACCAGAATCTCGGTTCTGGCATAGACTCGGACAGTACGGCACAGCAGTTGACTACCGGTGCGCAGCATAGGAGTTATGGCATAGAGGAGGACCCGTGGGGCGACGGCTCCAAACGAAACCCATTCCTGGGAGGGGGCGACCCGACCACCCGTGACATGATGTGCTCAAACGGCTTCGTTAACCAAAACCAATGACACAACTCTTACCAGTGAATCAGATTTCAATTTCAGACTTAGACTTATATATACTCGCATTGAAATCGATATTATAATTGTTGTTAACAAAACTTATTTCATTCACTAAAACATTATGAGTTGAACATAATATTAGCATTTGATTCATTTTGTTGAGTGCATTACTATTGAATTTTAAAGTTTTTCATACATATTACGAGTTATTGACAAAAAATTATCATTATTTCTACCCTCATATCAGAGCAATAATTGGATCGACGATTATCTTCAGACAGTATATGATATATAATATTATAGATATTATTGTGATTTTAAACAAATTGTTTGCGAAATTATGGAGTTTGTTATGAAAGGAAGCGGTCGACAGATATGTGACATAAAGTAAAGCTTTGTTTTAATTTTTACACTATATTTCACTTATTTTTATTTTATCTATAATTTAAAAGTTTTTTATTTTTTAATCAAATCTCTCTCTAACTCTCGTTTGAGTTACGCCTTAAACATATAAAAATAAGATCATAATTATGTCATAAACTAATGAGACCTTTAAACTAAATTAAAGCTTTAGGAAAGTTTATAGGAGTGAAATAATTAATTAAATTTATAAGTAATGCTTTTAGCTGTTGTTTAATTAATTACAAAT